CATCCAGGCCCCGAACAATCCCCCACAAACACCCCCTAGAAAATAAAACCAGCAGGTAGCTCCAGCCCAGTTTGGGAATTTGAGTTTATTTTATAAATTCAGCCATGCTCTCTTTAAAAAAAAAAAAAAGGCAAAAAGTAAACTGGGGATGGGTTGGTGTGGAAGGTTTTAGCTAGATTGCTTAGTGAGAAAGGATGTTTATGACTTCCTACAGACATAGGAGCCATTTAGTACACGTGTTGTCAGCATGCTTTCCAAACCTTGAATGTTCTCCTTGGACTAAAATCAGTTATAGATTTTTCTCAGTCATCTGGAATTAACCAGAGCGACTACCACTAATTGATAGGTCTGGTTCCTGGAGGGAACAGATTACGGCCTTACTTCTTTTCTTCCATTAATGCAGACTTGAAGTATCTGCACGTGTCTTTGTATATGGGGTAGCAGGCAAGCCCAAAGAAAAATACCTTCTATCCTTACAATGGGAATATTGGAATATTTTGTGCGGTAGGCATGGGCAATCTCTGGATTACAGAATAGTAGAGTTGGAAGGGACCTTAGAGGTCTTCTAGTCCAACACCCTGCTCAGGCAGGAAATCCCCTATACCTGTTGTGGTTAGCCAGCAACAGCTACGGATGGCTGAGGAGAGCGAGGACTCAGATGAGGGGCCAGGACCATTAGGGAGTGGACTGCTGCCTTCAGAGATTGTGGGGGCTGGCAGCAGCGATGAGGAGGTTCCCGAGGAGCCTGTGCTTTCCTACGAGCACGCAGGGCTGCTCGTAGGAAAGAGCAGCTGCAACAGCAAGGGCGACTCGGGAGTAAGGCTGCAAGGTAACGGCCCCTTCTTCAAGAAGATAAAGGTCAGCTGTGAAGAGAATGTTCTTTGCAGGAAGCAAAGACGTTTTGAAACTCAGCCTCGTGGACATTACAGTATCTTAAGTTGGTCTTTGAAGACTCTTGTGTTGTGAAATATTTCTGATCTGTGACTCTTTAGCCGTCTCACACCGTTTTGGCGAGGTTTGCGCTTATCAAAGTTAATTAGTTTGCAGCAGCCTTTTAACCGGGGATTCGTAAGACTCATTAAAAGGTTTCTGTTTCCTTTGGTTATTGTTTGTTTTATTGGAAAAGGGTTCGGGTCAGAACAATTCCATTTCAGACACGTGGCTGTCCAGTCTCTTCTTCAAAACCTGCAAGGATGGATCACCCATAACTTGTGAAGGCAAGCCTTTCCACTTATTAAATGTTCCAAGAACTTTCTCCTTAATGCTAGGTTAGTTCTCTCCTGGATTAGTTTCCATCTATTGCCTTCTGGTGCTGTTTCCAGCTACAGATAGTCCTGGACTTACAATGGTTCACTTAGTGACCATTCGAAGTCACAACGACACTGAAAAAAACCCGACTTACGAACATTTTTCACACTTACGACTGTTGCGGCATCCCCATGGTCACGTGATTTACATTGGGTTTGCTTGACAACCGACTCGCATTTACGACGGTTGCAGTGTCCCGTAGTCACGCAATCCTCCTTCAGCGACCTTCTGACAAGCAAAGTCAATGGGGAAAACTAGATTCACTTAACAACCGTGTTACTAATTTAACAACTTCACTGATTCACTCAACAAAGGGGGAGAGAAAAGCCGTAAAATAGGGCAAAACCCACTTAACAAATTTCTCCCTGAACAACATAAATGTGTCGTCGTAAGTTGTAACCTGTATTCCAGCCCTAGAATTTCCAGTGGCCCCAACCAGCATAGTGAACAAGGCTGGGATTTGTAAATTGGCAGCATAGAGTCAGTTGCCACTGTTTTTTCCAACCTGGGAAACTTCCAGATAGGTGAATTTTCAACGGTGATCTTACTTTCTTAGAAAAAAAAATTAAGATCACCCAAAAGATTAATATTTGGCGGCATGCCAGCTTCCAATTATTATTTTACTATTTTTGAAAAGAAATACCATGTAGGTCTAAGCGTATTTAGTATGTCTCTGTATGTGTCTGTTTGGTAACCCAGTCGTTCGTGGCCTTCGGCTGTGATTTAACTGTGGTTTTTTGGGGGAGGCTTGAGTTTGGCTTGCTCCCAACTGGCATATGAAGAATGCTTAGTCAGTCAGAAAGGAAAGGATGCCCAGTTGATTACAAATAAATGCATTGTTAAAACATAGACCTAGTTGTAGCTGGATGTGTCCTTACAAAGAGCTGAGGAAGACTTGTCACCTTTATTCATCAATCAGAGAGAGGAAGACTGGATGGCTTTTTTCACCATTGGTCATTCTCACCATACTACTCAATAGTAGCAACTGTGAAAGGGATCTCGGAGTCCCAGTGGACAACCATTTAAATATGAACCAGCCGTGTGCAGCAGCTGCCAAAAAAGCCAGCACAGTTCTAGGCTGCGTAAACAGAGGGATAGAATCAAGATCATGTGAAGTGTTAATACTGCCTTGGTAAGGCCTCACTTGGAATACTGCATCCAGTTTTGGTCGCCACGATGTAAAAAAGATGTTGAGATTCTAGAAAGAAGAGAAGAGCAACAAAGAGGATTAGGGGACTGGAGGCAAAAACATATGAGGAACAGTTGCTGGAACTGGATATGTCTAGTTTGATGAAAAGAAGGACTAGGGGAGACATGATAGCAGTCTTCCAATATCTCAGGGGCTGCCCCAAAGAAGAGGGAGTCAAGTTGTTATCCAAAGCACCTGAGGGCAGGACAAGATGCAATGGATGGAAATTAATCAAGGAGAGATTCAACCTAGAAATAAGGAGAAATTTCCTGGCAGTTTCGAACAATTAATCAGTGGAACAACTTGCCTCCAGAAGTTGTGAATTCTCCAACACTGGAAGTTTTAAAAAAGATGTTGGATAACCATTTGTCTGAAGTAGTGTAGGATTTCCTGCCTAGGCAGGGGGTTGGATTAGAAAACCTCCACAGTCCCTTCCAACTCTGTTTATTCTATTCTGTTCTGTTCTGTTCTGTTCTGTTCTGTTCTGTTCTGTTCCGTTCCGTTCCGTTCCGTTCCATTCCATTCCATTCCATTCCATTCTATTCTATTGCCTGGTCACTTTCCAATTGGGTTACAGGTAGTTCTCGACTTACAACTTTCTTTAGTGACGGTTTGAAGTTATAATGGTGACTTATGATCGTTGTTCACACTTAAGTTAGAGTGTCCTGGGGTCACATGATCATCACTGAGATGTTCTGACAAGCTGGGTCAATGGGGAAAGCTGGATTTACCTAATGACCATGTGATTCACCTAACTGTAGCTTAATGACTATAGCAACAAAAGTCATAACATTGGACATCGTACTTAATACGATGGTTGAAGATTGAGGACTTGCTGTATTCTTATACGGAAGATATATGTCATGCCCCTGTCGGAGTCTGAATCCGAGGAGGAAGTTGAACAGCTGACGGAGTGGGAGTGTGGCTCCATTGGCTGTGGAGGAAACTGGGGAAGGGCAAAGTCTGGCTGGACAGAGCAGGGGAAGGTAGAACAAGGGAGAGAGAATTCAGAGGAAGACCCAGACCCAGCTTCTCTTCATCCTAGGGCATGCAGGGAGGAACGGAGAAGGGAGCAACATGGGTTGCATGGCTTACCTGGGAGGAAAGGGCCCTGATTTCCTTTATTAACCATAGCTGGGAAGAGAGCTTAAAAGAGATGCATGCTGAGTGCAGCAGCTGCTGGGAGCAAATGTGAGTTTATCTTGTGTTGACTTTAGTTATCTGTGTTCCTGGCATCTTCCCAACCGTGTTGAGTTATTGCCGTACCTTCACATCTGGAATTCCTGCTCCTGCCTGCCAGACTAATTACCTCATTTTTGCCTTGATTGGTCTTATAGTTACAGTTTGTGTTGACCATGTTTTGGACTTGATTCTCTGTAGCCCAAGGCTGTTTCTGGGAGAGTTTTTCTCCAGCCAGAAGGTAGCCAGGACATTGGGGGCAAAGTTGGAGCTAATAAAGGGAGTCCTACTGATTATCTGACTAAAAGGAATAGTTTCAGTTTTCAGTTCAATTTAGTGTTTTGTTATTTCTTGTAGCCAATTTCTTATTTTTACCCAATATCTTCTCGTTTAGGGACATAACCACCACATATGAAAGAAGGTTCCATTGGGGACCTTGTCAGAAGGTCGAAAAGGGGATCACATGACATTGCAACTGTCATAAATATGAGTCAATTACCAAGCATTTGAATTTCGATGGGGATGCTACAACAGTCATAAATATGAAAATGGTCATAAGTCACTTTTTTTCAGTACTGTTGTAACTTTGGCCACTATGTTAACTGTTGTTGTAAGTTGAGGACTATCTGCATTTAAGTTTGCCTGTGATTTGCTGTTACTTCTCCATTACTAGTTCTTCTAGAATTTTCAGTAAAATAAACAGCCAACTAGCCTACTTCTGTCTCAATTTTCTTTCGTTTGACCAATCGAAAAGACACAAGAATGTATCAATTAGAGTTTTTTAGAGCTCAGTCATGTGCACAATAATGTAAATAAATAATGTAAATAATGTGTCAATAGGAGCTACAGGTTAAAAAAGAGGCATGATTTTATTTACAGCTGCTATTTTGACTTTTTTTAAAAAAATATTCTCTCCGTAGATGCCCCTGAATTGGAACGTTGCAATTCTGTGTGCAATACAGCTGCCTTAGTTTTAAAGAAATGATTTAAAACACTTTTGTTTTTCATTTTGTTTATCATCTAAGTAACAAATAAACCTCCAAAGTAGTTTATGAGATCAGCTATAAACAAGGCAACATCTGCCCTGGGATATTTGTCTGAAATGCTTAACACAAGCGGTGAGGAAGGCAAAGGGAAACAGATGTATATGACCATTTTTAAACATTACCATTAATCTGTGCCTCTTTGCTTTAGAACTCAGCAAAATCAAGCTTTGTATTAATTAGTAATCTTTGTATGGCAAATGCATCCTTATGTTTTGCTATTTTTTTTAAAAAATTTTTTACAGTTCAGCTAATTATTGTTCTATTATTATTTTCTTCAGATACTGATCGAGCTTTAGCACTTCTGGAAGATTATTGTAAGAAGTTAAAAAGGCCAGAGGAGCAACAACTGAAAAAAGCCATTAAGAAAGTGATGGGCATCTTTAAAAGCAGTTTGTTCCAGGCCTTGCTAGGTATGTGAATTAATGCTACTTTGTCATACTGTTATGCTTCATTTATTTGGATGTTGTCCTAGATGGCTTTTCCAGAACACTTTCTGAGATCTGGGAATACTGAATGACTATTAGTTATTGGTTATCGATTAGAATAATTATGAATGATAACCCCATGGAAGGCAAAGTCCTTTTTCATGCTATTTACTTTAGGAGAAAATTCCCCTGTTGCTTTATGAGAAAAAGCCACCAGTTCTGTAAAGGAACCATTATGTAGGAGGAAAAATAGTTTCGGACATTGGAGAACAGAGGAACAAAAGGTTTTCTAGTTCCAAAGGTGCTTTTTGAAAAGGGAACTGGACTTTTGGGGGGTTTTTTTCCTTGAAAATTTTTTTCCTTGAAAATAGGGAAACTGTAATAATTAGCATCTCCTAACTATAATAACTTGGAATCAGGAATATTACTTCACAGATTCATAGATGATGGCTTAATATCCTGGTTCCTCTTTAACTGCAACCCATGTTTTTTAAAACGGTAAAATATAGTTTTCTGATTTTATAATGATTCAAGTGTATGAGTTGCACGAATGATGAACAGATTTATGTGTCCTTTGGCTTAAGAGTGATTCCCCAAACCAGCTTTTAGGATGAAAGAATTTACCTACTGAATCAACAAACAAGGAAAAAAATGTGTTGTTTGAGATGAAAATACACATATTTATTCTTCTTCCTGACTTGGAATGAGGTTTCTTCTTTACTATGGTGCTTTTTTTTAAAATACTACTAAAGAGATTGAAATGGGAAAGCACATAATCTCTCATTATAAAATTGTTTTGCAATTTAATGGCTTTGAACCGCTGTTTTTTTTTTCTAAAGTAGTGGTCTGAGCGTATTCCAGGCTGCAAGATAATGCTGTTGCATAATCAATAATCAGGTTTGGTTACATAATGTCTGCTTTTTAATAATCATGTTTCTGACATCTGTTTGAGACCATTTCAGGTCGATTTGCCAAGTTAATGTGCTTGCATCTCCTACCTCTTACCTTTAAAATTCTGTTGTTGCCGTTGCAGATTTTAGCCTAAATGGTTTTATCTCTGGGTTTTAAATCCTGCCTCCTTGTAGTTTTTGTGCTCTGATACACAATTTACACATTGCCAAAGAACTGTACGCGAGACTGTTTTTTAAACAGTTGGCTTCATTGGGTGCATGTGCAATCTTCCATCTGAGAAGGTCCCAATCTCAGAATGAGTTAGGAACTCTGGATATGCTCTATCCTAGGAAGATTCAAAATAGGTTTGTTTCAAACCATTCTTGGGCCACCTAAACTACCTTGTTCCATGTTTGTTATGGTCTGTTTCAGGGTTGGAATCATCAAGGGCACACTATTTTTGCATACTGCTATATTTCATTTAAATATTTAAGGCAGGGGTCTTCAAACTTGACAGCTTTAAGACTTGCGGACCAACTCCCAGAATTCCTCCTCCAGTCATGTTAGCTCAGGAATTCTGGGAGTTGAAGTCCACAAGTCTTAAACTTGCCAAGAAAATTGCCTGACATCTCAAAGCACCTAGCTGAACTTGGCACCAGATTAGAAACTAATAGATTGTGAGTTCTAGTGCCACTTCAGGCATGAAAGCCGGTAGAGTGACTTTGATCCAATTACCAGGAGACTGTGAGTTCTAGTCTCATCTCAGGCATGAAATCTGGCTGCATGGATTTGGGCTAATCACTAGGAGTCTGTGAGTTCTAGTCCTGCCTCAGGCATGACAGCTGGCCAGGTGACTTTGGGCCAATCATCTTCTCTCAGCCCAACTCACCTCACAGGGTTGTTGTTGTGTGGAAGATAGGAGAAGGAAGGAATATTAGATATGTTCACAGCCTTGAGTTATCTATAACAATAAAAGCGGAATTTAAACAACTAAAATAAGTAAATAAATAAATTTAGGTCTATGGAGATTCTCAGTCATCCAGGTCATAGTTGTCTCAAAGATGCTTTTTCAAGAGGCCACTGGACTTCCTTGCTTTCCTTTGAAGACATTTCCCTTCTCATCCAAGAAGGTTCTTCAGCTCTGACTGGACGGTGGGACGGAATCATTCCCCACCCTCCAGTCAGAGCTGAAGAAGCTTCTTGGATGAGAGACGAAACGTCTTCAAAGAAAAACAAGGAAGTCCAGTTGCCTCTTGAAAAAACACCTTTCGGACAAGTAAATTTAGGCTTTCCAGATTAGTCACGCCAGCGTATGCCCTAGAGCTTGTGGGAGTTTTAGCCCCAGGAAAGCTGGTTTGCAAGAAGAAGGCTGCCCTGTGCTGTGTCCAGCGTGCAGGCATGTTCTTGATATGTTTTCTGTGACATGGTGGTTTTTAGTAACTCAGTAGTTTTATTTATAACTTCTTACACTTGCATGTTAGATCTGAATGCTTTCTTGGGACAGTAAATAAAGGTGGTGTAGAGTGACATCTTGTGGTTGCTTCTCATTGGGAAACATTCTTACATTGTGTAGCTACACTGATCATAGTTCTCCAAGACCCAGATACAGCTACCTGCAAGAATCTTGTTTTTCATCACCATTAATGTGGAACCTGCTTTAAAATGAATCCCATTAGCCTGTCTTGACTCAAGTGTTTTCCAGATTAGCTACATTTGCACAACAGGTCTATATTTTTTTCATTGCTTTACATGCAATCTTTGGGTTTGTACAGTACATTAACTCTGTTCCCACAACACGTTTAACCCTGTTAAACATAGTAACTCTGAAAACTGATAGCAGAAAAAGACCCAGGAGTGCATCAGGTTTGCTTTTGAGTTTTAAGTTTATTTGTTTTTGTTTTCTTTTTAATTTAAAATACCTGCAAGAATCTTGTTGTGTACCACCATTAATGTGAAAGCTGTTTTATTGTTTTCCATTGCACATTGACAAGCAGCATTGCCTAACCATTAAAGTACCCTGGCCTCATGATCAATGCCTATACATTTTTTTCCAATTAAAGACCAAATCCTGTGCAAACACCCAATTTATTTGCAGTCAGTTGCAATATATCATTCCTTCCAGTTACCTTTCATATCCCACTTGGGTTATAATGAGATTAGGCTTTTCAGTTTCATATCCAGTTCAGCATATTAGCCTACATTTTATTAAGCTAAAGTATTTTCTTGTTTTTCATTTTATTCTCTCACAATCCTTTTAGAGTAACTTGCTAGCTTCTGCATTTTTTTCTTTTCTTCAATCATACTAGAATTTATCTAAATGGGAAGTGAAAGCTCCCACGGCCTTTGAAAAACCTTTTGTATTGGCGACTGATTAAAGCCATCATATCTGTTTCCAGGATCTAAACCGCTATTTGCATTGGGCAAATTCGATAGCAAACTTTTATAGGAAGGAGAGAATCATGCTGAATTTGTCTAGACTTCCATTGTCAAAATAAAAATGAGGCTTTTTTTTCAAAGCCAACTTAGCTTAGAACCATACCAGCTTTTGGACAAACCACCAACAGAAAGGGACCCTTTCTTGATTCAAATATTGCAAGAATACAAATGGATATAAAATGGAACACTTTGCTTGGAGGGATGATAAAGCGCAATACATCTCATTTTCACATTCGTTTGACTAGGTATGTGCCTGTCATTCCACGTGCTGGTTTGTAAATTTGGGTGAGGTTTAGGTCAAGTAGTGGTAATCAAATTCTTCCCTAGATGCACTTAGAACAGAGCTCTTGAGGTTCAAGGCCAACAGGATTTAAGTTTATATCTTGAGATCTTAAGGGTCATGAGCAATCAAATCAAAATCAAATCAAATCTGTATTGTCAATGCACAACCTGTGTACAATGAAATTGAATGAGCCTCCCTTGGGATTTAAGGTTATCTTGAGAACTTGAGGTTCATGGCCAATGGGATTTAAGGTTATATCTTGAGAACTTGAGGTTCATGGCCAATGGGATTTAAGATATCTTGAGATCTTGAGGTTCATGATCAATGGGATTTAAGGTTATATCTTGAGAAATTGAAGTTCATGGCCAATGGGATTTAAGATTATATCTTGAGATCTTGAGCTTCATGATTAATGGGATTTAACACATTTAAGGCTATCAAGACACCCAGGTTCTTATTTATTCATTTCTGTGTTAAATTTATATGCCATCTTTTATCAATGTGATTTGGGTGGTATATACACTCCTTCCTCTTCCTCTTTTCCCTCTCAACCACCGTCCTAGGAGATAGGATGGGCTGAAAGAGAAGAGTTGGCTCAAAATCACCTTGTTAACTTCTGGGGCTGACACTTAAATAAACCCTATGTCTCTTTGGTGCTAACTCACTGCTCTAAGCATTGTGCTGGCTTTCCAAGGAATTTGGAAGGAGTCCATCCACTCATCCATTCAGATTTTACAGATTTACAGATTTACAGAGTTGGAAAGGACCTTGTAGGTCATCTAGTCCAAGCAAGAGACCCTATACCATTTTTGACAAATGGCAGTCCAGTCTCTTCTTGAAGGTCTCAAGTGATGGTGCTTCCACAACTTCACAGGGCAACTTCTGTTCCATGGGTTGATTGTTCTCACTGTCAGAAAATTTCTCCTTATTTCCAGGTTAAACCTCTCTTTGTTCAGTTTCCATCCATCATTCCTTGTCTGGCCTATAGGTGCTTTGGAAAATAGATACCTAGTTGTCTAGACATCTAGATGCATGTATCACCCCCCACCCTCACATTTTCTCCATAACAATAAACCTGTGAGATAGGTCAAGCTGAGAGAGAGTGTGATTGGCCCTAAGTCAGCCAGGGAACTTCTATGGTTGAGGAGGGATTAGAACTGGGGGCCTCCTGCTTCCTGTTGGACATCTTCATCACTACACTGCACAGGCTGTTGGGCTGAGATAGGGAACTGTGTCAGCCCTTCAAAGTAGACCAGATCAATATACAGACACTGATTAATTAATCCATTGATTAATTGTTCTCACTGTCAGGAAATTTCTCCTTAATTCTAGGCTGGATCTCTCTTGGATAAATTTCCACCTATTGCTTTCTTGT